ACAAGCATCCTCCTGAGCTCTAGGAATTTACCTGGCTTTTCACCAGTTATAGTTGGGCAGCAGTACAGTCACAGCATTGCTTCAGGTGCTGTTCGTTGCTGGTCCTGTCAGCCCTCCAGTGCTGGAGTTGGCTCAGAACAGCTGTGTATGGATTTTTATCTCGTTCAAGGTGTTCAAGGCTCAGGTGATTCAAGCCACTTGGCACCAATTTGAGCAACTTGAGTGGGAGCAGTTTGGGTTGGTTCGTTGATACAACTCACAAACGGTTCAGAGCACTTGAGTATTTTTATGTAATTGGGAAGTTTTGAGAGGTTTCATGAAGTCCTTTCAAAGCTCAAGCCTCATCTCCTAAGTCCCATGAGGCTCCCAGGAGACCGCAGTGCCAGAAACCACAGAGTCATAGAATCTCCTGGGTTGGAAGGCACTCATGAGGATCACTGAGTCCAGCTCGTGGCCCTGGGGTTCTCTTGGGAGAACCCCAAGAATCCCACTGAGTGCCTGAGAGCATTGTCCAAACACTTGGGAACTCCGGCAGAGTTCAGGCTCAGCCACCAGCACTGGTGTATCCTGCTTTGTCCAGCACAGTTTATAAAATGTTGGGAGTCACAACAGCTGAGGTGGGACATAGCTGGTTTCTGCCCTTGGAGCCTGCTTGGTTTTGTTACCATTTTTTCCACAGTGGATCCCACAGAGGGGACAGCCAGCTGCAGTCAGTTGTTACCTCTGGTGTCTATTGATTTTACTTGAGGTCCTGAAAAACTGAGGGATTTAAGAAAATCCTTCAGGCTTGGCATAAGTCCTAGAAACACACGTGTGCATTGTACAAAGTAAAGTGAAGGTGATGAGCTGGAGCCTGTCGTGGCCACTGCTTGGGTCTCTAGGATGTGCAGCTCTCTCCCCAGTGTAGGGCTCCAAACTGGAGCTCACCCTGGCTTTGTGACACTGATGACATTTACTCTGTGGCCTAATGGGGAGAGAGGGAAGAGTCCTCTGCAAGACAAAAGTGATGGACTTTGTTGCTCTAAAATACCAGGGAAAATCTGCTCGTCTTTGTGCTGCCTTGTCATGTTTGGCACATTCTGTGACCTGGGCCAAGACACAAGGAAATATTGCCAAAGCCTCTGCTTTGGGCAGGATGCAGCAGCTGAGGACAAAGATGCTGCAGTCGTTTTTCTTTCTATAGTTTCTCTGCACATCTGATGGACCAGATTTTGTGGATTTTTCAGTATAAAATTGTCCATTATTGCATTTTTCAAAGGGAGGGAGCTGGCTAAAATCCTCCTCTGGCTGAGTGCTCCTTCCCTGAATGTGCTGATGGCACTTCAGCAGTCACAGTCACTCCACTTGGATGCTGATGTGGAACTTGGTTGTCTCTCTGTGTTCTTGATTCTGCAGGTTCTCTCAGTGTAGCTGATTCTGCATCCCTGTGCCAGGATGAAGGGGTGGTGTGCTCAGTCCCACATGCAGCCGAGAGGGCAGATGTAATACCTGAAACCATTTGTCTTCTCTTTAAATGTCACTTTTAACTGGGTGTCATCTGCAAAGTGACAGTTTTCCTCCTCTCTGTACGTGTTGGGTGCTGCTCTCTCCATCTGCCTGGCTGTGTGTTGACGGGGGCAGTGTACAAAACGCAGAGCATTTGCTGGCAGAAGTGCAAACTGTAGAGATGTAAAATAGTCCCTGACTTCAGAGCTGGAATAGAGAGAGCAGAAAATGAAGTCTCAAAGCTGGGCTTGTCACTGTTAATGACATGCTCAGTTACAGACACTTGCTGAGGTGGAATTCAGAAATAAGGCCTTGGGTTTCACTCTTGCTTAACAGGTGGGGATTATTTGGGAGTTTAAATAGCACATGTTGTGGAATGGTTTTTGTGGTTGGTGAGGACTATTTGTTCAGTGATTAGAGCTGAAATCTGGAAGGTTAACACTTGCCTTTGCTTAATGGAATGTTTTTTCTCCCTGTAATTCTGACTTGCATTACAAGACAGTGAAGTTTTTCAGGAGGTGGCTATTGTGTTGCATTTTTAGCTTTTCACAGATTCCTGGAATATCCTGAGCTGGGAGGGGCCCTCAGGGATGCTCAGGGCAGCCCCTGTCCCTGCACAGCCACCCCAACAGCCCCACCCTGAGCAGCCCTGGCAGCGCTGTCCAAACGCTCCTGGAGCTCTGGCAGCCTTGGGGCCGGGACCATTCCCTGGGCAGCCTGGGCAGTGCCAGCACCCTCGGGGGCAAGAGCCTTGCCCTGAGCTCCATGCCAAGCCCTGGCACAGCTCGAGGAGCCTCCCCTCAGTCTCCTGTGCTCCAGCTGAACGAGCCAAGGGCCCTCAGCCGCTCCTCAGAGCCTTCCCCAGCTCCGTGTCCCTCCTCTGGGCACTCTCCAACAGCTTTGGATCCTTCTGATCTTGTGGTGCCCAAAGTGCCTCCAGAAGTCAAGGTGAGGCTGCAGCCTCATACTGATTTATATGCATATGGAATTTTTTAATTCCAAGATACTTCTTCTCAACCCAGCATCTCTTCAGGCTTAAATCAATTTTGATGGTAGAGAACTGCTGACTGTCTTTCTCCTCTGTAGTCTCAGAAGGTTGGATGTTTGTTTTCATTTCAGTATTGGGCAGGAGTCACTGGTGGATTAACTATCTGGGACACTCCTTTGAGTAAGTGGCTTCTGGACTGATAATGCCAGAAGATGCTTATTAAAGAAAATGAGAAACGTGGCAATTTGGGAGGTTTAATATAAGCAGGCTCTGGTTTTGCATGGATGGGATGGCAATGCGCTTCCACAGGGGATGGGATTTAAGGTTTATAACAATCTCAGAGACGTACTGTGGCTCCCTGAACTCTCAGGTTTTAAAACACAAAGATTGGATTTATTTTTAATATTTTCTAAACTGAAAACTGGGAGTGAAAGGAGGCTGGAAGTGCCCAGCATGAAGAGCAAACTGTGACCTAGAGAAACAAGGTGGGTTTTTACAGCAGCTGAAGAAATTAAATTTAAATGCAGAGTTTTGCTGTGAAGTGGGTTAAAAGCTTAATCTGTAAGGGTGAGGTGGGGTGAAAACTGACTTAATCAAGGCCTGTGGGAGGAAGGGATAAGATGTGTCTGAATGGCAGCTGCTCATCTAAAGGAAAAATGAGTGTGTTGCAGGCAGAAGTAGCAAGTGCTGCCTAGTACCTCATGATTTCTATTAGAGCTCCTGCTTTTGACTTGACAGGAGAACAGTCTCCAAACCTCCTTTGCCTTATGACTCACCTTTCAGTGCAGGCAAAACCAATGCACCCATTTTGGTGAAGAGCAAGCCAAGACTGAAGCCCATCCAAAACTGTAGAGCTTGGTCAGGCCCATCCTTAAAAGGGGCTGCAGTACCTGCAGGATGGCTCTGCTTCATCTCAGCTGCCTTCTCCTGTTCCCATGGACAGCCCTCCCTCGCTGCTGCTCTGAGCCTCTCAGCTGCCCTTCTGCTGTGCTTTGTGACAGGAGCTCAGAGCTGCTCGGCTTCCTCGCTGCGCCTGGGGAGCCCCACGGCTCGGTGGGGCAGAGCTGGAGGCTGAAGCCATCTGCTCTGGAAGGAGGCTACTGGGTTGGGAGCCAGGAAATGTAGACCTTAAGCCATGAGACTGCCCATGTCAGCCTGAAGAATCCTTTATTCCCCACTGAGAACTGCTGTGTAAGTGTTGGCCAGAGTCACCACACTCCTCTGACTGTTCCTGCCTCCCCACAACCACCACCATAAACCAGAAAGCTGATGGTTGGGAGGAGGAGCCTGAGCACACAGCTGGGTTGTCCTCCTGGAGATGCTTTTCAGAGGGAATATTTGATGTCAATGTGCCTGGCTGTGGCTTGTGTTTATTTCTAAACAAGAGGAGCAGATTGTGCTGTTCCCCCTCTCTTTTGCAGGTCAGTGGTAGTGTGTGTTTGGTTGATCCAAACTTGCAGTGTTCTGGTTCAGGGGAACGAATTATTTCTTGTTTTATTGAAGTCTTAGCAAACGGTGCTAAAGAACTCATGAGATTCTTCTGTGTAGTTCAGAAATGTTAAGCTGAAGTTCACTCCATGCTGCTGGCTTGAGTTGTGTGGCGAGCAGGACCAGAGCAGTGAGTGTCCCCCTGTGCTGGGCACTGCTGAGGCCCTGCCTCGAATCCTGGGGTCAGTTTGGGGCCCCTCACAACAAGAAGGACATTGAGAGGCTGGAGCATGTCCAGAGAAGGGAATGGAAATGGGGAAGGGTCTGGAGCACCAGGAGCAACTGGGCGAGCTGGAGGGGCTCAGCCTGGAGAAAAGAAGGCTCAGGAGGAACCTTCTGGCTGTGCACAACTCCCTGACAGGAGGGGGCAGCTGGGGTGGGGTCAGGCTCTGCCCCCAGAGAACAGGGACAGGAGGAGAGGAAACAGCCTCAAGGTGGCCTAGGGAGGTTCAAGTCTGACACTGGGAACATTTCCTCACTGAAAGAGTGGTCAGGCCTTGACAGGCTACCCAGGACGGTGGTGGTGATGATACCCATGGAACTGTTCAAAAAACAGGTAGTAATGGCACTTGGATGTATGGTTTAGTGGGCATGATGAGCTTCAGTCAGAGGTTGGACCTGATGATGTTGGAGGTCTTTTCCAGCCTTAATGATTCTATGATTCTTATGACATCCCAAGTTTTTCCTTGTGTTGGGCAGATGCTGAGTAAAGCCCTGAGAAGGGCACAAGTTATTCAGGGCTCTGTTTGAGAACCTTGGAGACCACAAGTTGTTCCCAGTTGCATCTGGAGTTTACAACGTGATTTCAGTGCACATTTATAAGCTGTGTAAGCAGCCAGCCTGGGCTCTTCCTGAGGTGGTCACTTGTGTTTTTGCAAAGTCAAATTTCAAGCTTGATGCCCAAACTTGCTTTCTGCCTCCCTGGTTAAGGTTGGGTTCATCCCACCTGGGCAGAGGGTTTTGCCAACCCTATGTGGGACAGGAATATTCTTAGTTGTAGTCAGGCAATATTCTTTAGCTGTAGTTCTCTCTGTTTAAGGCATGCCTTCCTCCTCCTCCTCCTCCTCACTGGAGAAGAGCTACCCTGAAACCCACAGCACAAGATCTGGAGGCTCTGGAAAGCTGGGAAGAGAGGTGACCCAGCTGGCTGGGGCTCAACTCCAAGGTAACTTGTTGTCTTTCATCTGTTAAGTTATCTATCAGACGCATCCTAGAAACCACTTCACTTCAGAGAGACCTTGACCCCTCCTCTGTCCTGTGCAAGTGCAGGAATACCAAGGGTGAGGCACATCCTGTGGCCTCTGCAAGCTCAGCCCAAGCTGGTGCTGCTTCCAGAGGGGTTTGTGGTTGTGCTGGGTACAAGTGTGTGCTCAGCCTCGGGGAAAGCAACGCCAGCAATCTGCAGGGTCCTCAGCAGCTGGGGGCCTGCAGGAGTTCAGGAGAACAAGCTCAGCAACAGCCTGAGTTCTGCCTGAGCAGCACCTTGGGAGCCTGAGTGCTCTTTAGGATTTTGTTCTTTCTTCTTTTGCATCTTTGTTTGGGCACATACCTGTGCAGAGTCTGGAGATCTGGTTCCCAAATGAATAAATAAATGGGCATTGCTGCACTTGGTTAAATAGAAGTAATAAATTCCTGGCTCAGCCTCCTAAGTGCAAGTCCTTCAGGCCAAGCTGGAGAAGCTGCTTTTCTGCCCCAGCTTGAAGCAGGCTGCAGGTCTGTGCCAGAACCAGCCTGTCCTTCAGCTCGTGGCTGGCTGCACTGTAGGAGGCTGTCCCTGATTGCTGGTGCAATGCAACTGAGACATCCCTGTAGCCCAGCATGGGCAGCAGGCTATCTCTTCATGCCCTCTTTGTGTGTCTCACCTGTCTGAATTTCCTAGTAAGAGCTCTAGAAGTATTTTTTGAAATGTCATTGTTTTTTAGGTATCTTCTTTTCAGCTCCTAGCTGAGTCACTGGCTACCATGCAACAGCCAGGATCCCAGGGAGAGGAGAGACTTGCTGAAACTTTGAGTTACGATTTTTGGCAGAACACTCCATCTTTGGAGCTTGTTCTGCTGTGGTTTGTTTTCTTCCATCTGTTCAGGTGCCTTTGTGAGAGCAGAGCAGGAGCACCTGACCCAAACACTTGAGTCACAGAGAGGAGAAGGCCTTAGCTAGGCCAGTGAGAAAAAAACATGGTAATGAGCAATAATGAAAATTGATTCTTAACCTCCAACTCCCCACACCTTGTGTCAGTAGCTTTTGCCCTGGAAATCATTCCTGAGTCTGACAGCACAGTGATCTGTCTGTGCAGAGCTGCTGCGGCTCTGGGGAATGTTGCTCACAGAGTCCCAGTTGGGGTGAAGACTGGAGGCTCAGGACCCCTCCTGGCTACCAGCCCCCTCAGTCTGAGGAAGAGAGAAGGTGTTGAAATGTCCAGGGAGGGGAGGGATCATGGAATCACAGAATAGTTTGGGTTGGAAGGGACCTTAATGCTCATCCTGTTCCACTGCCTGCCATGGGCCGGGACACCTTCCACTAGACCAGGTTGCTCTGAGCCCCATCCCACCTGAGCTTGAACATTGCCAGGGCTGGGATAGCCATAGCTCCTGAGGACATCCTGTGCCAGGATCTCACCACCCTCACAGCCAAAAATTTCTTCCCAATGTCCCATCTAACCCTGCCCTCTGGCAGTGGGAAGCCATTCCCCCCTGTCCTGTCCTTCTGAGCCCTTGTTCACAGTTCCTCTCTGGCTCTCTTGGAGCATCTTTAGGCCCTGCAAGGGGCTCTGAGCTCTCCCTGGAGCCTTGCCCAGGTGAACATCCTCAGCTTCAGAGCAGAGGGCCTCCTGGTCTTGCTCCAGCAGCTCCATATCTTGTTGATGTTGGACCCCAGACCTGGAGGCAGCTCTGCAGGTGGGACCTCACAGGAGTGGAGTGGAGGGGCAGAATCCCCTTCCTCACCCTGCTGGTCACAATTCTTTCGATGCAGCCCAGGATCCATCTGGATCTACCTGGAAGACAGAATTTGCAGTAGCTGCTATGGATTAAGCAGAATTTGCTCCTAAAGAGCCAGCCCTCACTTTGTTGTGCTCTGGGACCTAGATGGGTGGTGCAGGAGAGGCACAGGCAGCAAGGGTGGTGAGGTGCTGCCAGGCAGTTGCAGGACATGCTGATAGGAAGCAATAGAGTTGGAAGAGTGAGTTTTGAATGAAGCCAAGAAACCAGCTCAGATTAGCTGTATCTGCAGCCTGGAGAGCTTGGATTTTTCCTGTTTACATCAGCAAAAACTCAGGTTTATTTAGAAGTAGGTCATAGAATCATGGAACCATTAAGGCTGGAAAAGACCTGCAAGATTATCAAGTCAAACCTTGACTGGATATGTCACTGCTCTGCTTTTTTAAGCATGTTTTCTTAACTGTGTGTTTTCATTGGTACCTGGTCATCTTGAAAACCATGTCTGACTTGTGCAGAGGATGTGCTCTTTGAGGGCTGTATCACAAACTCACGCTCTGAAAACTGGAAATGCAACCTAATGCTTTTGTCTGGACATCTGCTTTTGAAACAGGTAGAAGTTAGAGATGTCTCTGCCTCCTTTCCCACCCAGGCCTTGTCGTCAGCATTGGGATGCAAAGCTCCACATTGCAGTGTTATCAGCAGCACCCGTGGCAACCTGGAAGTGTTTGGTGAAAGAGTTTGTTGGCTGCTCCCATCAGGCTGGGTACAAGGACTTTATGTCCAGTGACGCATGTTGTATGTAACCTTGCTCTGAAATCCCCTTTCAAGTCTCCAGTGCTTGAGCACCCTCAGAAAATCTCTGTCAGGTGATGTTAGCCAGAATGGAATTAAATCTTACAGGATTTAGCCGAGCAGCTTTGGCTACAGAGTAAATCAGGAAATGCCCCACTAGGTAAACATCCAGGTGCACCTTTGGGATGTCTTGTGAAGGGTGGCCTGCAGTCAGAACAGCTGTTTTCCCTTTGGAGACTGCTGTTGGTTGGGATGCTGGGATCCCATGGATTTAAAGCTGTGCTGACTGTGGTGACATCTCTGTGTCCTGGTGTTGTGGTAGGTGATTTTTGGGAAACTTCAAATAGATTTCCCTACCTTCTTTGACTGTAGTAACTAGACTTGAACATATTTTTTTAGAATGTCAGAAAATGGTGGATATCTTTCATGGGTTGCATTCTTGTATTCTCAGGATAAATTAGATTAGAACAATTCCTGCTGGTGAGTGAGCAAGGGGGCCAGTCTTGTTTGAGGAAGACACTTTTAAATAGTGGAAGTTATGAATTATCTGGCTGATCCCTCCTGGAGGGAGACAGGGCTGAGAGATAAAGTCGGGGGAATAGTTTGTCACTGTCTCATGCAATGTGTAATCCAGCTCTCTTGGTGTCTGCTGTGCTGCTGCTCCTGCAGGCAGCTGGAATGATTCCTTTGCATTACCAGTCCTCCCCTCTCAGACAGGCTGAGATCCTCTGCAGGATACCCAGAGAAGGAATATTGGAAAGAGAGCCAAGCTAATGTGCAAAGATACTGCTCTAGTTAAAGGGGGTTTGTCCTCTTAATAATAATATCCTGTGTTATTTATCAGCATAAGAAATTTTGAGATTGACACAGTGAATATATCCTTTTTCCAGCTAGCAGTTCCCTGTCCTTTGCCTGGCACCTGCCTTGAAGTGTCCTCACAGAGCCAGTGAGTTCCAGAAGGAGCTTGGCTGCTGAAGAGGCTCCAGCAGCACTAATCCCTACCTGGCTGGGAGGTGCTATGGGCTGACACTAAGCCCCGAGCAGCCAAAGCCCTGAGCTGTGCCACAATGGAAACCCTGGGTATTTGGGACAGAGCAACTGTTCTGGCTGTGGCAGGCAGGGTGTGACCTTGGTTTAGTCAGGTCAAGCTTCTCCCTCTCTATTAGTGGCATTGGGAGAGCAGCATGTTGGAGGATGGAGGTGAGCATCCTTCCCTACATAGGTAGGACATGTTAAAGGTCCTGGATCCTGCTTCTCAGCAGGGGACTGCAGGCAGAGGGGATGCTTGGAAAATGAACGAGGGAAGTGAATTGCTTCACTGCCTTGTGCTTGTCTGACCTAGGTTTGAGAAGTGGCTCTCGGGGACCTTGTGGCAGCTGGAAACTCTATCTGAGCACACAGAATAGAGTCCCAGGGGCTGCCTGGGGTCATGTGCTGCATTCAGGTCCCCAGTGGTTTTGCAACACAACTAGAAAAGCAGCAGGAGGTTCTGTGTCCTCTTGCTGCCAAACCACAGCTCTGGGCAGGCAGGAGATGCTGGAGTGAGCAGAGTCAGTGGGTTGTAACCTGCTAGGAGGGGATTTGAAGCTTATCCTTCCCTTGAACAAAGGTAAGGGCAGCTGAATGTTGCTCTGGCTCTTCTGGATGATTGTGAGGAATGTGGCTTCAAAGTCCTTCAGCCTTTTATGGCCCTGCTCTAAATTGGCGTCGTGGTTTCAGTGCGGCACCTCTGTGCCTGAGTGTCATCACAGGCACAGAACTGGCTCTGTCCTGCAGAGGTGACACTTCCCGCTCCATGTTTGCTGTCTCTAATCCTGCTCAAGCTTTGTTGTGAGTGCTGGTAGGCAGATTGGGCTTGCAGGTTGTAATAAACAGAGAAGCCAGAAGGTGGGAAGAGGCCAGCACTCCCAGCGCCGCTGCTGGGTGTCTGACCTTGGGAGCCTCTGGCCTTCCTGCCCCCGCTGCCCGCGGGGGACGTGCTGGGGAGCCTGTGTTCTTCCACTCCACAATCCTCCTGTGGCCAGCGTGTGGAAGGGAGCAGGAACACGGTGTTCAGATAAGGCTGCACCTTTCCCATGGAGCAGATGTTTGCCCGAACATCCCACTGGATTGCATAATTACTGAGCCGAGCGGCTGCAGCCTGTTCCGCTGCTGGGTGGCAGCTATTGTGTGCTGCTTTTGATGAGATTTTTGTTTTGCTTTTTGTCACTGTGTCACACGCTTTGGGCTCAGCACTCCAAAATTGTCCTTTTTCTACATGCAGCTGATCCAAAACAAGAAAACAAATCAGTTCTTTTTGAATTTAATTTCCCTGGTCTTGTCCTGCTTGTTCCTCACTGTAATTGGGCTTTGGTGCTGTAAGTGCTTTTCCAGGGAGTTGTTAAAGAAACGTTCCAGCGTGGTGATGTCCTGGCTCAGCTCCCTGAGGAGGGCTGCA